AGCTAGGGATCTCCAGAGCCAAAACATAAACCTGAATGCAAAGGATGTGTCATGGGGTAATATTCACCTTAGCCAAGATCTTTAATGTAAAAATTGTGTAGGAAATACTTCAACTCCTAAATTAGTATATATAAGCCCAAATCAGAAAACTCGTACCACAGAGATTAAGGGAAGTCAAAGTATTGAGATAAATGACAATTTTAACAGATAAATGTAAATCTGAGTGTCTATTACCCAAATGGAAAGTAGCTGAACCACACAGTCATTATTTTTCCACAGGGAAAATGGTAGTGTTCTTACATCTTGATAGATGGACATAGTAAGAGGTAGGTCTACTAAGGAAAAATTGGAAGTTAAAATTATTTAATTGGAAAAGCAAAGGATAAGAATGTGGTAAGCAGCGGGGCCAGGTGGCTCATGCCTGTAATCCCAGCACTTTGGGAGGTTGAGGTGGGTGGATCACCTGAGGTCAGGAATTCGAGACCAGCCTGACCAACATGGAAAAACCTCATCTCTTTAAAAAAATAAAAAAGAATGTAGTAAATGCTAACATATGGAAGATGATTTTGAGCCAGTTTTTCCTACATAGCAGTGTAGACCGTGGGGAGTCAGACTGCCTGAACATTTCATAAAGTTATCAAAAACATTTGCAGAATCCAAAGAGCTTTTTTATGAGCTAGAATACTGTCATTCCATGTAACAGACCACATTAGAATATTTTATATATTAAAAAAAATGCAAGTGTAAATGCAACTTTAGCATTTACAAAATAAGTAAATGTTAAAATTCTGTTCATTTAGAACAGACTTAACAGAGGAAGCTAACAGTATAGTTCCAAACTCAACTGTTATCCCTTCCTCTTATTAATGGTATCTAAGCTTTGGTTTACTCATCAGTTCAGTAAATTAATGGTAAAGTTAATAATCCCTTAGACTTTAGTTTCAAGCTTTAACTGTGTGTGTGTGTGTGTGTGTGTGTGAGGAGGGAGGGAGGGAGAGAGAGAGAGAGAGAGAGAGAGAGAGATGGAGTCTCACTCTTGTTGCCCAGGCTGGAGTGCAATGGCGTGATCTCAGCTCACTGCAACCTCCACCTCCTGAGTTCAGGCAATTCTCCTGCCTTAGCCTCCTGAGTAGCTGGGATTACAGGCATGTGCCACTGCACCCACCACATTTTGTATTTTTAGTAGAGACAGGGTTTCTCCACATCAGTCAGGTTGGTCTTGAACTCCCAACCTCCGGTGATCCATCTGCCTCGGCCTCCCAAAGTGCTGGGATTACAGGTGTGAGCCACCACGCCTGGCCCTTAACTTTTTAAGACTAATTGTTTTTATTGTGCATATGTAAAATGGGATGCTTGTGAATTTTTTTTAAAAAATCTTCATTTCTAAAAACATTAACCAAAAAGGTGATCAATATTGGGACAGAATATAGTGGGAATTTTTTTAAAAACCACAAACTAACATTGAAACACTTTTCTAATGAGGAGTGACTTCCAATAAAATCTAACATAACTTTATAAGTGGTCATTCCAGTTCTTAAAAACACCAATTAGAGGCCAGGTGCGGTGGCTCAAGCCCGTAATCCCAGCACTTTGGGAGGCCGAGGCGGGTGGATCACGAGGTCAAGAGATTGAGACCATCCTGGTCAACATGGTGAAACCCCATCTCTACTAAAAATACAAAAAATTAGCTGGGCATGGTGGTGCGTGCCTGTAATCCCAGCTACTCAGGAGGCTGAGGCAGGAGAATTGCCTGAACCCAGGAGGCGGAGGTTGCGGTGAGCCGAGATTGCGCCATTGCACTCCAGCCTGGGTAACAAGAGCGAAACTCCGTCTCAAAAAAAAAAAAAAAAACCAATTAGATACAAAGCAAAGTATTATTTAAAATTCCATTTTCTGATAGGATCAGAGTAATCACTATGTGTCCTTGAGAAAAGAAAAAAAACAAAGTGACAGTTGATATTACTATAAACAAAAAAAATCTAGCTTTTACTATTTTTATAGATTTATCAGTTAAGTTAAAAATTAGTAAGACTTTAAAAAGGTGATCTCTAGATATGAGTAACTGCTCTGAAATAGAGCTTTAAAATAATAACATGTACTTAAATAAATGTACTTATTAGCATACGGTTCTTTAAAGAATGTTGAAATTTTAATAGTGAGATCAATCAATGACAAGAAGTGTATCTTTCTCAGGAAACAGAAAGTAACCACTATGCAATAAAGGCAATGATTGGAAACCCAAAATTACATTTTGTTGTCAAGAAAGTCAATTTAATTTAATAATTTAGCTTTTCCACAGAATTAATCACGACTACTTCTATATCAAAGAGGTATTATTTGGGGGAAAGAGTAGATACATGAGGATTTAAAATTATTTCCTATTTCTTACTTTTAAGATGTGGTGATTCATGGCTCCGATAGAGATTGTAATTTTCAAGAAATATAAAAGAAATCCATGTTAAAATAACAACAGTGGACCTTGAAGGCATGAGCTTTTGTCACTTTATTGTTAACCAATGAATATTATCCAAAATTAGAGATGTAATTGTAACTTAATTGTACAACACAAAATTATGCTAATGGTAAAAGCCTACTGAGATTTACCAAATACTCATTAGTGTATTTTTACATTGACTATATGAATGTGTGCTCAAGACTGCTAATGATAAGTTTAATTGGTTTAATCTCTATGAAAATCCATGTTGCAAATAGTTTTAAAAAATTCACACAGCCTTAAAAATGGATTAAATCCATTTTAATCCTAATCTAAAAATAGATCATAAACAGCAAAATATAACTGATCATTTTTCAATACTGCATCAAACTGATGTAGCTATGGTAGTGCACATAATCCAAAATGAGGAAAATTAACAAAAATCCAATGAAAGTTCAGGTTTTTATCTACTATGGCAATTGCTTTAAAGTGAACATTTATGTTTCAAAACATGAATAGTAGAGTCCACCATCCATTCCTTTGATGTACTGCAAGTAGGAACATTCTCTTCCATACGATTCTGAAGCATGTGCACAACCATGGTACAACAGTCATTTCAAGGTTAACCAGCTATGTTTTGTCCTACAAAGTTCAAAAAATATATTAAATGCAACCTATCTTTTTCATAATGTCTGCCCAGATTAATCCTTTTAAAGTCAGTAAAATCAAAAAAGCACAAGAGATATTTTCAGACACAACCTGAATCTACTGTGCGTGAAAATATTTAATAAAATGGCAATTTTGATAAATGTAAATTTGAGTGTGTAATACCAAATGGAAAGTAGCTGAACCACACAGAGAAAACAGGGCTTTATATATCTCCAAATTTAGCTGTTTTACAATAAACAAAATATTAGAACATGTGAATATTAGAACCTCCTTCTAACTGGAAAGATTTCAGTAAGATATAATTAAAATTAATATAAACTAAAATTATAATTTCTAAAATAAAATTAACAAACCAAATTTAAGTATTTTTTAGAGACTGGAAAAAAATAAGCACAGTGATCTAGAAACCAAATACACTGATTATGCAACTATTGTATCAAGGTGCAGACATTCTTCATATGCTACAAGGTTAGCAACACACTCACACACACACACACACACACATGCAGTCGCTACAAGGTTAGCAACACACACACACTGTCACTACAAGGTTAGCAACACACACACACACAGTCGCTACAAGGTTAGCAACACACACACACACAGTCGCTACAAGGTTAGTAACACACACACACACAGAGTCTCTCTCTTTCTCTCACTCTTCCTCAGCCATACGACACCCCTCCAGGATGACAGCATAGCAGTGAGGAGCTTACAGTTTTAATACAAATCAGAATCCCACCGTTTGACTTAACAAAAAGGCAGTTAAAAATTTAGCACTTTAAGATATTGAGGGAAAATGAAATTTCAAAAGTACTTCTTGATGATTGAGGCTATCATTATGAATTATAAAACATATTGCTTACACACTCCATTGTGTTTGAACAACCAGTCATCGCAGGTGTAGTAGTGAGGTAGTATTGTTGTCCCCTCCTAGGGACTGATGTTTTTATATGCTGCCCTTCCAGAAAGGTCCAGGTTTTAAAAAAATAATTAAAATCAGTTACCAACAAATGTATATTTTCTTTTATTAATCATCTGTTTTTCTAAATCAGTCTATAAAAGAGTAAAACTTTTAAAATCTTGCAGAGGCTGTTTCATCAATAAACTCTCCTAGGGAACTACTACTGCTGTCTAAAACTCTGTGAAATGGTAGGCAAAAAAGCCATCAAAGGATTATAGGAGATAAAACACCAATCAACGTAGCTGTTAAAGATGACTGTGATTAAATAACCAAATATCAAATATCCAATAAGGTAATTAAATATGGATAAAAAAACTAACCACCAGCTGTACATACATGATCAAATGTTCTAATCTCTTTCATGATTCATAGCCATATTCTACATAATGATCAAAGACTGTCCACTGTGCTACCTACCATCATCTTAAACACTGCTGGATCTGTATGATGGTGGAATTATGACAATGGGCATGGCAGATAAGAGAAGGGCACACTGAGAAAATGTGACTGAGAGAGAATGTGGAGATATATATAGGTTAAATATGGAAGGGGCAAGGAAAACCCATTAAAATGTTTGTTCACCATTATCCTTTAAAATGTACATAGAACTGAAATCACACATACACATTTGTCAGACATGATAATTAGTGTTAGTCTTAACAGAAAAAGAAAGAAAAAGAAAAATGTGAAAAGAGGCAATGGAACACAATTCTCCATTCCCTGGGCCAAAAGAAAAAAAAAAAAAACAAGCATGGTATCATTCTGCCTTAATGTTGAAGAGCTCCCCTTAAATTTATCTTTTAGCTACCACAGTCAAACTGGTATAAATGCTTTGGCAAGGTGGGATGCATTCCATCATATCTGCAAAGGCCTGCTTTTCTCTGTTGGTGGTTCAGCTTATGAAGAACATATATGCAAAATAACAGCTCTCACATTGCTTCAAACTCATCGATACGCTGCTTTGTATTGCCTTGCCGAATCTGTCGCAGAGTCTTATACTTATCACGGCCTGCTTTAACATTCTCAGCATGAAGAACATCATTTTGTGTTTTCTTGGTTTCATCTCTGGCTTGGGCTAATTCTGAACTTAATGCCTGTATTTAAAAAATAAAAAGCAAGACTATTATTTTTTTCTTATATTTAAAAAATTTATGAAAATGGCTTCAAGATGCAAAAAATACATATACCAAATCATTTCCACTGTGAAATCTTTTTCTTTAGTGTATAAGTTTGCTTTAGTAATGGTAGTGGCAGTGGTAAGGACGGAATACTCATGGCCTTTCATTTACACATTTATCAACCATAGTATTTTGTACATTATTCTAAATTTCCTTAACTTTCTCATCTAATACTTGAAATGGCTAAAAGCTCAATGTAGCCATTATAGACTAATATTACTATGAGATTTAAAATCTGTACCTCAAGGGAAACTTTCTCCAAAAGACTTAATATATTTTGTGTAACTATCACCCCATTTTCTTTGATTAATATTTAAAGATTTCAACAATTAATATATTAGGTAACTTATTAGGAAAAAAGCTCTCATAATATTAAAATTCTCTATTTTGACCTAATTATGTCCATGTAATATACTGACCTTTTGCCAATATAAAATCTGAACAAATAATTAAGATTATACAATGTCTTAAATGTAGTATACTAAATATCATTCTTTTCAATGTACATTTTATTTTTTTTTTGAGACACAGTCACATTCTGTTGCCCAGATTGCAGTGCAGTGGCATGATCTCGGCTCACTGCAACCTCCACCTTCCAGGTTCAAGCAATTCTCATGCCTTAGTCTCCCAAGTAGCTGGGATTACAGGCTCATCCCACCACACCCAGCTAATTTTTGTATTTTTGGTAGAGGCGGAGTTTCACCATGTTGGCCCGGCTGGTCTCGAACTCCTGACCTCTCAACTCCATCTGCCTCAGCCTCCCAAAGTGCTGGGATTACAGGTATGAGCCACTGTGCCCAGCCCGCAATGTACATTTTACTGATTAAAAACAAAATTCATTTGTTTTTCTACAAAGCATTAGAATATTTTCTACCTTTTAAAATGGGTCAAGCTGTAATTAACTCATTAATTAATGTCTGATTATACAAAGCTAACAGGTATTTGCTAATGGGTTCACACAACGGAAGAAATGAAATAACATGACTCTGGCCAAATACCCACAAGCCAATCACAAGGCCAGTCACTATGAAAACTTCTATGTTCTTTTTAACTTAGTTTGTCTTAGATAGTGAAAATGCAAACTATATTTCAAATGTGTATACAACTGCAAATTTTAAATACCTGAAGTTGCTTCTTAACACGCTCATTTTTCTGTGTTTCTGTTACACGTTCTTCCTCGCTTCTATGGTTCATTACCCCTTCATTTGATAATTCAGCACTAGCCTCAGCATTATTCTCATCATGTTCATCATGTTCGTTTTCTGTCGGAGGAATGACCGGTGGTGGTGGAGGTGGAGGGGGGGCAGACATCACAGTTTTTAACTCTTCTTTGGTCTTTTCCAAGTCTTCCTGGGCTGCAAAAGCCTGAATATTAAAAATACTTTTATGAGTGACTTAGTTTAAAAATTAATAAAAAAAATCAAGTTATACTGCCTTTTTAATAGAAAATATATTTCAAAGTAATTAAAATAAGCCCTATTTGTGAAACCTCTATTTTCATAAAAGAATGCCAACAGGTAAAAGAGAAAATTGAAAACATTATTGCACAAAAGAATTACTAACTCTGTGAACTTCAAGTCAGTGACAGGTTAAACGAAAAACAAGCATACATGCAAAAAAAGAATTATTAATTCTGGCAAGGATTATCGTTTGCTGAAATTGTTGTGCAAATGGTTGACGAGAAATGGATATTTGTATAATGCCTAAGAATGCCACATCCAGTAGATTTTATGTGAACCACAAGGGGAAAACGTGACTGTCATTACTCAAATCCAATCATCACTAAAAAATAATTAATGGTGAGTTAAGTAGATATTAAGTGTCTTCTGATATAATACAACTTGATATATCTAACATCACCAATTGTTTGGTTGATCATATTATCTTGGTTTACCTGGAAAAGTCCTGTTACACTGTTGTCCTGGTGTAATTATGAACAATACCCCCTTTTTCTCAAAAGTGCTCTAGTTTAGATGTCAAATTACATGGATGTCTCAACTCTAATGCACTGTAGTCAAAAACATTTAATTTGAATTCCTCGAGGTTCTAGATCTAACTTCTGGTTCACAGGAAATATTGGAGCTAAAGGACAAGCTGAATGACACAACAAAGTAACCTAAACAAATATAGGAGGTGGGACACTCTGTAGGTCCCATCAATAAGTCAAAATAATAAAAAGAGAACTGCCCTTCATTAAAAAGTCTGCAAATAGAGACAATGCAAAGTCCTCTGAACACTTGTCTGGCAAATTAGCTATGAGACTTTTTGAGAAATTTTGAATAGAATCTAACATTATATGAGAGGAAAATTCACTAAAATGAAATAGTATGTACAGTAAGATTTCATGTAGGTAGGGCATGGTGGCTCATGCCTGTAATCCTAGCACTTTGGGAGGCCGAGGTGGCTGGATCACCTGAGGTCAGGAGTTCAAGACCAGCCTGGCCAACATGGTGAAACCCCATCTTTTAAAAAAAAAAAAAAAGATTTCATGTTGAATATATAAACAGGAAGTATTGTGGAAGGATATATACTAAGGTTCTACAGTACCGATCCTAGTTTATGGGAATATAATTGTCGTTTGTGTGCATTTTCTATTTTTCCATAATTCACAGACTTGACATCTGTAATATGCTTTTTAAAGTTTACGTGTCTCTAAATTTCACAAACCATCCCTAAAAGGGATCTAAAACATTCTAATAACAAAGTAGGGTAGGAAATTAACAGTGGCATTCCTTCAGCTGTATTTATGTAAACATATTTTCAATACATCTAAAGCTTCCCAATGAAATTTAAACTGCTACAAAGATTTACTTAAGAGTGAAAGAAGGCTGGCTGCGGTGGCTCATGCCTGTAATCCCAGCACGTGGGATGCCGAGGTGGTCAGCAGTTCAAGATCAGCCTGGCCAAGATGGTGAAACCATCTCTACCAAAAATACAAAAATTAGCTGGGCGTGGTGGCGGGCGCCTGTAATCCCAGCTACTCGAGAGGCTAAGGCAAGAGAATTGCCTGGCCCGGGAGGCAGAGGCAGCAGCGAGATGAGATCGCGCCACTGCAATCCAGCCTGGTAGACAGAGCAAGACTCCATCTAGAAAACAAAAAAAGTGAAAGAAAACTGTTTTCTGTATAGGTACGTTTTATTGTAGAAACACTGTCTTTTAAAACTATATATCATCATTGGGGGTAAAAATTTATATTTTCCTTTAAGAGTTAATGTCATTTGAATTGACTCTCATCTTATATTCCACCATCCCTCCAACCAAAGCCTGATTTTACAGTTGTGTGCTACTTTAGACAATAGTGGTTTCATCTACTTAGGACTCATTAGAAATCTCAGTATCAGCTGCACACAGTGGCTTACACCTATAATCCAAGCACTTTGGGAGGCTGAGATGGGAGGGCTGCTTGAGGCCAGCAGTTTGAGACCAACCTGGGCAACTTAGCAAGACCTCCGTCTCAACAAAAATAAAAATGATGGTGCATGCCTGTAGTCTCAGCTACTGCAGAGGGCAAAGTGGGAGGATCCCTTGAGCCCAGGAGTTCGACGCTGCAATGAACTAAGATCGTGCCGCTGCACTCCAGCCTGGGACACAGAGTAAGACTATGTCTCTAAAAAAATTTAAAATAATTAAATTTCATATCCAATCACTGGCTGCCATGCCCTTTTGTATCTACTACAAAAAGTCTTCCCACTCCTCTTTATTCTCATTTCCACATCCTCAGTTTGGTTCTTTATCTCTTAACTATTCACTATCCCAATCCTTTCTTCACACTGATTACTACGTGGTTTTTATAAAATCATATCTGGGCCGGGTGCAGTGGCTCAGGCCTGTAATCCTAGCACTTTGGGAGACCGAGGTGAGTGGATCACCTGAGGTCAGGAGTTCAAGACCAGCCTGGCCATTATGGTGAAACCCCATCTTAAAAAAAAAATAAAAATAAATACAAAATCATATCTTGATCATGTTCTGATCCTGTTTTGAAATCTTCTAAGCCCCATGTCAATCGATACTCTCCACCGCCTTGCTGTAGCACAGCATTTATTTAAAGCCCTTTTCAATTCCCTGTTATCTAATTTGAGGCCACATCTCCCAACATTTCTGAACAACACGAAGCCTCAGCTGCTTATTGGTTATACTCAAATCTATTATGTACATTCATACTTCCTATACTCATCCGGTTCCCTCTGTCTGGAATGACTACTTCTTCAGTCTATATTCCCAATCTTTCATACCCCTAAAACCTAATTCATTATTCAAGACCCAGCTTAAATGTATATGGGTCTCCCGACAACTCACAGAAATTAATCACCTCTTCTGTGTTCCCAAAATACTTGGTTTATATCAGTGAATATTTACAATACACATACACAAATATCTTTCCCACTCTAAATTATGACAGTATCTTATATTTATTTCTATAAAGTCAGCATAATCCTACGTATAAAAGCTATTCAATAAGAGCTAGTAAATGAACAAATGATTACTTTGTGCTGCCACTCAGTAGCTTCTTCTTCCTTTTTCTTCTTGGCTTCTTCTAGAAGTGCAATCTTGGCAGTGAATTCAGCAAGTTCTGCTGCCTAAAATAAACAATATAATCCCAAGATTAAAATAACATATTTTGAATAATCTTGTGATATGTTAAGTCAACAAAGCTTTAATGCACATGCTTAGGCTGTTTATGTTTTTCTTAGAGAGCCTTCCATACAGCATTTATTAAGATCTTAAACAGCTTATTATTGCAGAAAGTCCTTGAGGTAGTGAGCTAAGGAGGAGATAAAATTAACAGATTATTATTACTCTACAGACGAGTAGTTAATCCTGCTTTCAGTAGCAGGAACTTAAAATGTGTAACTTAGGAGCTTTTTAAAAAAACTTTCATCAATAAACTATTTCTGAAGTCTACAAGAGAAAAAACATTTATATAATGCTATGTACTTTAAATGGCACTTCGTCAAATCATGTCATTTAATTCCACAATAATCTAAACAGGTCAGGTAGTTATCAATAACAGTTAGCATCATTCCTTTTTTTTTTTTTTTGAGACACAGTCTCTGTCCCCCAGGCTGGAGCCCAGTGGCATGATCTTGGCTCACGACAACCTCTGCCTCCCGGGTTCAAGCGATTTTCCTGCCTCGGCCTCCAAAGTAGCTAGAATGATAGGTGCGCACCAGTGTGCCCAGCTAATTTTTGTATTTTTAGTAGAAATGGGTTTTCACCAAGTTGGCCAGGCTGGTTTTGAACTCCTGACCTCAGGTGATCGGCCCGCCTCAGCCTCCCAAAGTGTTGGGATTATGGGTGAGAGCCACTGCAACCAGCCATCATTCCTCTTTTGAAAGGGAGGGTACCGAGGCTCAAAAAGACCCAAAGACACATAGCAAGTAAATGTGTAAACTAATATTTAAATCCAGGATCTTTTAAATGACATGCATACACCTAATTATTAGCAAGTCCACTAAATAAACAAAAAAACCCAACCAATTATGGCCTATAGTTATCTCATAGGAACTATATTAATTTATCTAAAGCAACTGACTTACTGCAGAACCTATCCAAAGTCAAAGTGAATTAGAATCTTTTGCTGACAGAAGACTCCATTTACAAATAATCTATAGAAAAGTATCTTATTCTTTTGTATTTTTAGGTTTTGTTTCGGAAGAAATAAAATCTTTAAGTTTTTGTCCACATTTTGTTATTAAGTTACATGTTATCTTTGGCTTGCTTTCCAGAAAGTACAAAATGGTTGCTTTTCGTTTTTTTCTTTTTAGAGGGTTCACTCCATTCCATGCTTTATAATTTAAACTTTCTTCTCTAAGATAGACCTAAGATAGTTTCTTACTAGCTGCTCCTGATTCTTCATCTGGTCGGCAGCTTGTTTTGCTATGGCAGATTTTGCCTCTTCAGCAGCTCGACGCTCCTTTTCAAGCCTCTCTGCTTCTTCTTTTGCTCGTTTTCGTTCTTGATCCAGTTCTAGAGCTTTTCGAGTCTGTTCTTCTAGTTCTGTGAAATATGTGTATTCCCCCAAAAGTGATTAATTCCAATCATTCTCATTATCAAAAGAAGCTAAAATAGTAGGAAGAAATCAAATCTGTTCAGTTTCTACAAATTAGCACACATGTAAATATATATATACCTCTTTGTTTTCTTGAGACAGGATCTTGCTCTGTTGCCCAGGCAGGAGTGCAGTGGCACGATCATAGCTCACTGCAGCCTCGAACTTGTGGGCTCAAGCAATCCTCCTGCCTCAGCCTCCCAAGTAGCTAGGACTACAGGCGCTATACTTGTCAAAAGCCTAATAATTTTTAAAAAGAAATGAAAATCTTTTGTAACTTAAGTTATGCAAAAAGGCTACAAGCATACCTTTATTTTTTAAAAATAATCTCTCCATCTAAAGTTTTTACCTCAGTAAACAAATTGCCATGTTCCAGAAATCTGTAACACATTTTGAAACTTCCATTAAGTTTTTACTTATCTAAACTAATAAGTAAATCTAAGAAATTCGCCAGGCATGGTGGCTCACTCCTGTAGCCCCAGCACTTTGGGAGGCCGAGGTGAGTGGATCACAAGGTCAAGAGATAGAGACCATCCTGGCCAACATGGTGAAACACCATCCCTACTAAAATACAAAAATTAGCTGGGCATGGTGGTGCACGCTGGTAGTCCCAGCTACTTGGGAGGCTGAGGCAGGAGAACTGCTTGAACCCAGGAGGCAGAGGTTGCGGTGAGCCAAGATCATGCCACTGCACTCTAGCCTGGCGCCTGGCAACAAAACAAGACTCTGTCTCAAAAAAAAAAAAGAAAAAAAGAAAGAAAAGAAAAGAAATTAAGATTGAAAACAATACTTACTGACCCAAAATAGGAATTTTGATGTGAATTACATGAATTATTGAAAAATGTGAGTTACTGGTATAAATCCATTCCTATAGCATGAATATTTGGAGATGAATGATGTGAATTTTAATCCTTAAGTACACACATTACTAAATTATCTCTCTTTTCTTATTCCAATGAGTGGAACAAGAAAGAAAAATAAATTTTGGAGTAGCCATTATATACACCAACAGTAAACAATCTGAAAAAGAAACCAAGAAAGCAATTCCATTTACAATAGCTAAAAAAAAAATATAAAACACCTAGGAATCAACCTAACCAAAGAAATGAAAGAAGGACATCAGTTTGGCAAAGCTTTTTTTTGTGTAAGACCTCAAAGGCAGAGGCAAAGAAAGATAACAGGTATTATTATATCAAGCTAAAAAGTTCTGTATAGCAAAGGAAACAATCAACAAAGTAAAGAGATAAACTGAAGAACAGGAGAAAGTATCTGCAAACTGTCTATCTGAAAAAGGACTAATAACCAGAATATATAAAGAGCTCAGACTCAATAGCAGAAGACCAAATAATCTGGTTTACAAATGGGCAAAACATCTGAACTGACCTTTCTCAAAAGACATACAAATGGCCAACAGCTATATTAAAAAAAAATGCTAATCACTAATCACAGAAATATAAATCAAAACCACAATGAGATATCATCTCACCCTAGTCAAAATGGCTTGTATCAAAAAGACAGGCAAGGCTGGGAACAGTGGCTCACACCTGTAAATCCCAGCACTTTGGGATTTACAAAAATTAGGTAGGCATGGTAGTGCATGTAATGCCAGCTAGTTGGGTGGCAGAGGCTAAGAATCACTTGAACCCGGGAACCAGAGGCTGCAGCGAGCTGAGATCGTGCCATTGCACTCTAGCCTGGGCAATAGAGGAAGACTCTGAAGACTCTTTCCCCCACTCAAAAAAAATCAGTAACAGATGCTGGCGGGGTGTAGAGAAAAGCGGAATACTTATACACTGTTGGTGGGAATGCAAATTAGCAAGGCCACTATGTAGAACAATATGGAGAGTCCTCAAAAAACTAAAAATGGAATTACCATAGTACTGTATCCAGCAATATCACTACTGGGTATATATATCCAAAGCAAAGGAAATCAATATATTGGAGATCATTATACTCCTATGTTTATTACAGCACAATTCACAATGGCCAAAACATGAAGTTAACCTAAGTGCCCATCAATAAATGAATGGATAAAGAAAATGTGGTATATATATACTATGGAATATTATTCAGCCATAAAAATGAATAAAATCCTGTCATTCGCAGCATCATGGATGGAACTAGAGGCCATTATGTTAAGTGAAATAAGCCAAGCACAGAAAGATAACTATTGCATGTTCTCACTCATATGTCAGAGTTAAAAAGGTGGATCTCATAAAGATAAACAGACTGGTGGTTACCAGAGGCTGGGAAGTAGGTGGGGGAGGGGAGGTGAAGGGAGGAAAAAAAGATATCAATGTATTTATTACTACTAAACTGTATACTTAAAAATGGTAAAGATGGCCAGATGCGGTGGCTCATGCCTGTAATTCCAGCACTTTGGGAGGCTGAGGATCACTTGAGGTCAGGTGTTTGAGACCAGCCTGGTCAACATGGTGAAACCCTGTGTCTACTAAAAATACAAAAAATTAGCGAGGTGTGGTGGCAGGCACCTGTAATCGCAGCTACTTGAGAGGCTGAGGCAGGAGAATTGCTTGAACCCAGGAGACGGAGGTGGCAGTGAGCCAAGATCACACCACTGCACTCCACACTCCAGCCTAGGTGACAGAGTGAGACTCTGCTCTGTGCCCCCACCAACCAAAAAGGTAAAGATGTGTATATTCTATATTATATGTGTACATTTTACCTCAATAAAAAATAAATAATATAAAAATTCAATGTGGCTATTTGGCTATAAAGACAAAAAGTATACAGCACTAGATGTTATCACAGCTAAATTCTAGGATTACTCATTTTAGAAGCTGCCTTCTAAAATTAAGACAATCAAGCTGGACTATCGAACTTTTTTTATGATTACTTCTTTTCATCTGATCGATAATAAAACAATACCCACAGAGCTCATGGTTTTATCTTCCATCTAAACAAGCAAACAAATAACTAAAGAATTGAAAGCCAAAAAAAAAAAAAAAAAAAAAAACCAGAATTGAAAGCAGGGTCTCAAAGCAATATCTGAACATCCATGTTCATAATAGCATTATTTACAATAGCTAAAACACAGAAGCAACCCGAGTGCCCATCAACTAATAAACAGGCAAGCAAAATGTGGTATACAAATACAGCATTATTCAGCCTTAAAGGAATGAAATTCTGACATATGCTACAACATGGATGAAATTCGAGGACATTATGTTAAGTGAAATAAGCCAGTCACAAAAAGACAAATACTGTATGATATCACCTATACAGGTAGATAAA